CCTTTCTTGACACACATGGGGAATTTCTGTCCACGAATCAACGCCCTCAAGCGCTCTATCACCGCTTCTTTTGAAGCATTGATTTTAATGTCAATGGTGTATTTGAAGGACTTTAGTGGAGCTGCATACATTAAGAAAATACATAAATAATACACTGGTCATAAACTGCATCAGACTTTAAGATCACACCAACCTCCAACTTAGATTTGAAATAAAGAGAGACTCTTTACCAGGTGGTGGCCGGCAGAACGCTCCTTCAGTTGGAAGAGAAGTGATGCATCCACACGTACCATTTTGACTGTGGCCGCAAACGCCATGTTTAGAGCATTGTTCAGAGGGCCAAGCGTATTGATTCTCACACTTGCATTCAGTTTTGCTCGAATTTGAGAGACACACTGAAAATGGAACAAATTATTAACATTTTGGAGGGAACACAGGAAAAATTGATAAGATTAATATGAACACAAAGGTATTACTCCGCTTATATCTCCTACCTGTAGTGATGTTTGCGCTGGAGATTTTCATGCCTTTCTTGACACACATGGGGAATTTCTGTCCACGAATCAACGCCCTCAAGCGCTCTATATCCGCTTCTTTTGAAGCATTGATTTTAATGTCAATGGAGTATTTGAAGGACTTTAGTGGAGCTGCAAACATTAAGAAAAGAAGAAAATAATACACTGGTCATAAACTGCATCAGACTTCACACCAATCTCCAGCTTAGATTTGAAATAAAGAGAGACTCTTTACCAGGTGGTGGCCGGCAGAACGCTCCTTCAGTTGGAAGAGAAGTGATGCATCCACACGTACCATTTTGACTGTGGCCGCAAACGCCATGTTTAGAGCATTGTTCAGAGGGCCAAGTGTATTGATTGTCACACTTGCACTCAGTTTTGCTCGAATTTGAGAGACACACTGAAAATGGAACAAATTATTAACATTTTGGAGGAAACATGTATAATTAATTGATAAGATTAATATGAACACAAAGGTATTACTCCGCTTATACTTCTCCTACCTGTAGTGATGTTTGCACTGGAGATTTTCATGCCTTTCTTGACACACATGGGGAATTTCTGTCCACGAATCAACGCCCTCAAGCGCTCTATCACCGCTTCTTCTGAAGCATTGATTTTAATGTCAATGGAGTATTTAAAGGACTTTAGTGGAGCTGCAAACATTAAGAAAAGACATAAATAATACACCGGTCATAAACTGCATCAGACTTTAAGATCACACCAACCTCCAACTTAGATTTGAAATAAAGAGAGACTCTTTACCAGGTGGTGGCCGGCAGAACGCTCCTTCAGTTGGAAGAGAAGTGATGCATCCACACGTACCATTTTGACTGTGGCCGCAAACGCCATGTTTAGAGCATTGTTCAGAGGGCCAAGCGTATTGATTCTCACACTTGCACTCAGTTTTGCTTGAATTTGAGAGACACACTGAAAATGGAACAAATTATTAACATTTTGGAGGAAACACAGAAAAAATTGATAAGATTAATTAATATGAACACAATGGGCCCTATTTTAACGATCTGAAACGCAAGTGTCAAAGCGCAAAGCGCAAGTAACTTTGTGGGCGGATCCCGGCGCTGTTGCTATTTTCCCGGCGGGATAAATGCCTCTTGCGCCTGGCGCAAATCTAAAAGAGGTTGGTCTGAAGTAGCTTCATTATTCATAGGTGTGGTTTGGGCGTAACGTGGAATAAACCAATCAGAGCGTCATCTCACATTCCCTTTAAGAGCAGGTGCGCATGTTGCATGGCGGATTGCTATTATAACGGCGGATTTACCAGGCGCGCGTCAGGAGCGGTTCACAGCCGAGGAGACCGACGTTCTTGTCAGGACCGTGAAAGACAGAGAAGTGACATTGTATTGCGTGTTTTGCGTGCACCTGTAAACTATGGCATAAACCCTCATGCAGTAACACCCTCAGACGGCACTGTTTATTGACTGTCTGAAGTAGAATGCATGCAGAAATAACAAGAAATTCAACGTTCAAATCAGACTTATCTATCTATTTATCTCTCTATCTATCTATCTATCTATCTATCTATCTATCTATCTATCTATCTATCTATCTATCTATCTATCTATCTATCTATCTATCTATCTATCTATCTATCTATCTATCTATCTATCTATCTATCTATATCGTGGGTGGGTTTCTCCCATCCCCATACAAATCAGCGTCGGTTAAACAGGCGTGGGAGGAAAAAAACTACATTTTCATGGACACCACAATGATTTCCCTCATGTGTTAATATTTTTCCTTGTTATAATGTATGATATGCAAAAATAAAAACTGCTGCATCTGTGTTGATGAGAGAATCAAAGTGTATGCGCGTTGTGCACCCGCTACATTATGGCCAAGCATGCGCGCTTAAAATAGCATAATGAACAACGCGCAACGCGCCACTGACTTTAGACTAGTTTTTTTCTGGTCAGTGGCGCAATTGTTTTATAGAACAGCAAAATAGCATGAGGGAAAGTTTGCGCCGGAACACGCCTCCTCTTTGCGCTGAACCGCCCCGGGGAGCGCAAGTGTATTTCTTAGTTAACCGACGTGTGTCTGTGGAGGGAAAAGTCCGCTTTGCGCGGGTGCAAAATAGGAATGATACATGCGTCAGTGTACTAAGTCATTTGCGCCGAGTGCAAGATAGAGCCCAATAACTCTGCTTATACTTCTCTTACCTGTAGTGATGGTTGCACTGGAGATTTTCATGCCTTTCTTGACACACATGGGGAATTTCTGTCCACGAATCAACGCCCTCAAACGCTCTATCACCGCTTCTTCTGAAGCATTGATTTTAATGTCAATGGAGTATTTGAAGGACTTTAGTGGAGCTGCAAACATTAAGAAAAGAAGAAAATAATACACTGGTCATAAACTGCATCAGACTTCACACCAATCTCCAACTTAGATTTGAAATAAAGAGAAACTCTTTACCAGGTGGTGGCCGGCAGAACGCTCCTTCAGTTGGAAGAGAAGTGATGCATCCACACGTACCATTTTGACTGTGGCCGCAAACGCCATGTTTAGAGCATTGTTCAGAGGACCAAGCGTATTGATTCTCACACTTGCACTCAGTTTTGCTCGAATTTGAAAGACAAACTGAAAATGGAACATATTATTAACATTTTGGAGGAAACACATAGAAATAATTGATAAGATTAATATGAACACAAAGGTATTACTCCGCTTATACTTCTCCTACCTGTAGTGATGTTTGCACTGGAGATTTTCATGCCTTTCTTGACACACATGGGGAATTTCTGTCCACGAATCAACGCCCTCAAGCGCTCTATCACCGCTTCTTCTGAAGCATTGATTTTAATGTCAATGGTGTATTTGAAGGACTTTAGTGGAGCTGCATACATTAAGAAAAGACATAAATAATACACTGGTCATAAACTGCATCAGACTTCACACCAACCTCCAACTTAGATTTGAAATAAAGAGAGACTCTTTACCAGGTGGTGGCCGGCAGAACGCTCCTTCAGTTGGAAGAGAAGTGATGCATCCACACGTACCATTTTGACTGTGGCCGCAAACGCCATATTTAGAGCATTGTTCAGACGGCCAAGCGTATTGATTGTCACACTTGCACTCAGTTTTGCTCGAATTTGAGAGACACACTGAAAATGGAACAAATTATTAACATTTTGGAGGAAACATGTAGAAATAATGATAAGATTAGTATGAACACAAAGGTATTACTCCGCTTATACTTCTCCTACCTGTAGTGATGTTTGCACTGGAGATTTTCATGCCTTTCTTGACACACATGGGGAATTTCTGTCCACGAATCAACGCCCTCAAGCGCTCTATCACCGCTTCTTCTGAAGCATTGATTTTAATGTCAATGGAGTATTTGAAGGACTTTAGTGGAGCTGCAAACATTAAGAAAAGACATAAATAATACACTGGTCATAAACTGCATCAGACTTCACACCAATCTCCAACTTAGATTTGAAATAAAGAGAGACTCTTTACCAGGTGGTGGCCGGCAGAACGCTCCTTCAGTTGGAAGAGAAGTGATGCATCCACACGTACCATTTTGACTGTGGCCGCAAACGCCATGTTTAGAGCATTGTTCAGACGGCCAAGCGTATTGATTCTCACACTTGCACTCAGTTTTGCTTGAATTTGAGAGACACACTGAAAATGGAACAAATTATTAACATTTTGGAGGAAACACATAGAAATAATTGATAAGATTAATTAATATGAACACAATAACTCTGCTTATACTTCTCTTACCTGTAGTGATGGTTGCACTGGAGACTTTCATGCCTTTCTTGACACACATGGGGAATTTCTGTCCACGAATCAACGCCCTCAAGCGCTCTATCACCGCTTCTCTTGAAGCATTGATTTTAATGTCAATGGAGTATTTGAAGGACTTTAGTGGAGCTGCAAACATTAAGAAAAGAAGAAAATAATACACTGGTCATAAACTGCATCAGACTTCACACCAATCTCCAACTTAGATTTGAAATAAAGAGAAACTCTTTACCAGGTGGTGGCCGGCAGAACGCTCCTTCAGTTGGAAGAGAAGTGATGCATCCACACGTACCATTTTGACTGTGGCCGCAAACGCCATGTTTAGAGCATTGTTCAGAGGGCCAAGCGTATTGATTGTCACACTTGCACTCAGTTTTGCTCGAATTTGAGAGACACACTGAAAATGGAACAAATTATTAACATTTTGGAGGAAACATGTAGAAATAATGATAAGATTAGTATGAACACAAAGGTATTACTCCGCTTATACTTCTCCTACCTGTAGTGATGTTTGCACTGGAGATTTTCATGCCTTTCTTGACACACATGGGGAATTTCTGTCCACGAATCAACGCCCTCAATCGCTCTATCACCGCTTCTTCTGAAGCATTGATTTTAATGTCAATGGAGTATTTGAAGGACTTTAGTGGAGCTGCAAACATTAAGAAAAGAAGAAAATAATACACTGGTCATAAACTGCATCAGACTTCAAACCAATCTCCAACTTAGATTTGAAATAAAGAGAGACTCTTTACCAGGTGGTGGCCGGCAGAACGCTCCTTCAGTTGGAAGAGAAGTGATGCATCCACACGTACCATTTTGACTGTGGCCGCAAACGCCATGTTTAGAGCATTGTTCAGAGGGCCAAGCGTATTGATTCTCACACTTGCATTCAGTTTTGCTCGAATTTGAGAGACACACTGAAAATGGAACAAATTATTAACATTTTGGAGGGAACACAGGAAAAATTGATAAGATTAGTATGAACACAAAGGTATTACTCCGCTTATATCTCCTACCTGTAGTGATGGTTGCACTGGAGATTTTCATGCTTTTCTTGACACACATGGGGAATTTCTGTCCACGAATCAACGCCCTCAAGCGCTCTATCACCGCTTCTTCTGAAGCATTGATTTTAATGTCAATGGTGTATTTGAAGGACTTTAGTGGAGCTGCAAACATTAAGAAAAGACATAAATAATACACCGGTCATAAACTGCATCAGACTTCACACCAATCTCCAACTTAGATTTGAAATAAAGAGAGACTCTTTACCAGGTGGTGGCCGGCAGAACGTTCCTTCAGTTGGAAGAGAAGTGATGCATCCACACGTACCATTTTGACTGTGGCCGCAAACGCCATGTTTAGAGCATTGTTCAGAGGGCCAAGCATATTGATTCTCACACTTGCACTCAGTTTTCCTCGAATTTGAGAGACACACTGAAAATTAAATAGGTATATGTAGGTATATATCGTATCAGATTAATGTAGACAGAACGGCATTAGTCCACATATACTTGACTAACCTGTAGTGATGTTTGCACTGTTGATTTTCATGCTTTTCTTGATGCACATAGGAAATTTCTGTTCACGCATTAGGTCCCTCAATTGTTCTATCACTCCTTCTCTTGAAGCATTGATTTTTATGTCAGTTGTGTATTTGAACAGTTTTAGAGGAGGAGCTATGAAATATAGATCAGTATTTAATATCCAGTATTATGGAATGCTTCCTGATAGCACACATGTAACGTCTGTTTTTTCTATTAGTATTATACTATTTTAGCATTATAATTTATAAAGAACAATATTACTGAAGAGTCTTACTTGTACTGAGATTCATATTGGTTACGATGACATTTTGGCCGACGCTATATGGAAATGAGTATCCTTGAAGAAGTGTCCTCAAGCGATCCTGTACCATTACCCTTGAAGAATTTATTTTGATGCTGATCAAGTATTTGAATGATTTCCAATTCACTGCCAAAAACGAAGAAGAAATCTTAATAAAAAGAGGCATTTATACATTTTCTTTACTCAGAACCTTGGGCGTCAAATTTAAATACTTTTAACATGCCAAATATGCTGTTAAAATTAATATTAAAGCTAAAATAAAAGTTAAAATGTTAATATTTCTTTAAAACACTGAGTTACTATAGTTCATTTACTAATTTCATAGTAAAAATCTATTTACAGTATCTGTATATTGGATACTACATTGTGTCTTTCTCCCTTTGTCCCTCTGTCTATATTTAGGTTTACAATATGTCTAAATCTCATTTTACTTTCCTTAAGGCCCCCATCAAAATGAAATACAAATCTAGTTGAAAATGTTTTCTTCCACAATTTCTGAGATTATACAAAAATCACAATGCCTTGTTATGTTTCTTTGCTTTTTAACCGTTATAACTAATATATTTGGTAACTTATACCATTACAGTGTTTTATGAAATATATTGTTCTTTCGATTAATAATTGTTAAATAATCAAATTGCACTAAATCACAAGCTTAACTTAGTTGGGCAACCTTACACTCACCCTGTCCTTCTTGTTTTAAGTTATTTCCACTTTCATCCATGTAAGGTGGCTGGAATTTAGAGGAAAGACACAGAATGGTTTTTAAGTTTATCAGTAGAAAAATGTGTCCAGATCTCTATCAGTGCAATCAACGCATTCTTATTCAGACAAGGAAAAGAGTGCATATGTCAAATAACAGCAAAGATGGTTTTGACTTCACCCTGATTAAAAATGTGGTTTATCAGTGCTAAATGCAACCAAAGAAAACAAAACAGTTCTGTGCTGCATTCCATTAAGCAGACTTACCAGCATTGCATGCCACTTATTTACTCCAAGCACTTCCTCACTCACTGTCTGTGCATGACTCAGGCTTTGTATTTCCAATAAAGAAGTCACATACAACATGATTATGATTCTCAGTTTCATCATAACAGGTTCCATGCCTGTGTGGAGGAAAGGAACAAAAAAAATTAAAACAAATGGGTGGGTTATGTTTATATCTTTCTTTTAAAGCCTAATAACTTAATAGATCTTAATAATTTTCAGGGTGAATTAATCATTTAAATTTGGTTATACGTTTGCCAAAAGAAATAAAAATGCTTTTCATTTTTACTTGTGGGAATCCATTCACTGCTTTCTAAAATGACTTAAAAACAAGTTCTAACTTGTTCTAACCTGCTAGTGGCATTTAAATATGCATTATTTAAGAGATTATTTCCTCTTAAAGGCACACTGTGGAACTTTTCAACCTTTATAATATATTACCAAAACCCATTGAGATGGTACATCGACTTACAATAGGTTGAATGACACGTCTGCCGTAGCCTGAAGGTGTCCGTATCGCTTTTCCTAGCACTATGTAACTTCGGGTTTCGGGTAGGAACCCGAGCACAAAAAGAACTACAAAATTCGACCGCTTTACGGCATACGTCACTTCCCCCACCACCCACAACTTCCTCAGATTCTGACGTGAGTGCTCAACTCGCGTTTGATTGCCGTTGCCGTCTGTATATTTTATGTTTTCGTCATGGCCGAACCAACAGCTACAAGGAAGAAGGCAATGGTTTTGTCAGAGGACACTAAAAGAAAAAGGCATAGTGACAAATGAAAAGCCAGGACGAGGATCACCATTGGTCCAGCGTTCGCTCGCTGGCGTGAGCTACAGGAGGAGGAGGGGTGCCCGACCGATGCTGACGCTTGCCTGCACGCAAATGCCGTTTCCAAGGTGACCCAGATAAATCATATAAGTAGTGTAGTATTTTCTGGTATTCCGGCCACAGCCGATGGTGTTATGAGTGTAATAAAATGCCCACAGCCCATTGTTCATTTCTACACACAAACACAGCCCGTCACAGTGCAGGGCTCGCACAAATAAAGTCGACTCATGTCAAATGTACATTAAATGTAACGTTAGTGAACGTGCCCACGACTCAGTGCCCACAAACACTACACACAACATGTCCCACGGTTTCTGTAAAACGAACCCAACACACATAAGTTACAGTCAGCTCAGGCCGACGGTGTTTTTAGTGCAGTAAATGTGCCCGCCGTCCCGCGCCCACATTCACTCACAGACATGTCAGCACTAAGCCCCACGGGGCTCACCCCGCTCGCTCTCTCTCAGCAGACTGCTATAAGGGAATCGAGCGCGGCAAGGCTGCCCACCTCAAACACTGCAAGCACACACAATCTAAAGACACGGGAGGCTGACCCACTGTCTATGGGCTGACCGGTTGACTTTTGCGACAGTGCTGCGGAGCTTGTGGCCTCTAGGGACGCTAGACGTGAAAGTTACAGGTCGAGCGCCACTAGTGGCCAAAAGTTCCGCGGTGTGCCTTTAATTAATAGGAATGTAAACAGATTATTCTGAAGCAAACAATCTTGACAGTGATAGTTGTACATGCACACATACACAATATGATTATCTTATAAATTATTGGAATGGAACTTATTATAAGATAACATCTTTAACAGAGTCACCATATTCCTCCACTATTCATTATAATTGATAGGTTGTTTAATTTAACTTACTGTATCTGGATGAAAAAGAGCATAAACCAGGTCTTACCTTGATTTGGTGTCCAGTTTCAGCTTGTGATATTTTATTTATTAAGAGAGAAGATTCATGCTGACTGTCTGACTGCAGACATTAAGTGAAGCCTCAACTTTTGTACTCTAGGAGGAAACCAATAGCTCACAATACAAGTTTTATGAGTGACCTCCCTATTTGTTTCCTTGTCAGGATTTTGATCACAATGAAGTATAAATGATTCAGATGTTTGTAATGTAAAAAAAAAAAAAAAAAAAAAATCAAACTAGTCTCAATTTATATTATGACTAGTTATAATATAAATTGTTTTATACATAATAATTACATTGTACAATTATACAATATAATTATTGTTTGACTGAGTTTATTCACAATACCACTTCAGCTATTACAATAATACAATTAGGGGTACAGAATCAATTGGGTATAATGAATGGGTCTCCCAAAGAAGCTAAGAAAGCTTATAGGTGGGGGCAGAGCCGTTGAAAAACAGAGTTGCGACACTCCCATAGAACGCCATAGGAACTTTGGAATGCGGAAGTAACGCGTGACGTGGAGCAGCCAGGCATTTCTAAATGTCAAGGAAGGATCCTTTTTTTATTATGATTATTATTTTTATTAAATATTTACTTACGAGATACAGAAGTGAACATTCATAAGCCAAAAAAGAGAGCCAGAGGTACAGGGACTGAAAATATTACATCACAATTGAATTTAGGGAAAGAAAAAAGGAAGTATCGGTTAGAAACAATTCTACCAATAAAACATAGAATAACAATAAAATAAAGAAATTATATATATAAAACATAATAATAAATAACAAAGAAAAAATTATATAAAAACACCAAACATTGAGCATACATTCAAAGTTTTAGTAGCCTTTTTGTTACAAGAGGTAGATAAGGATTTGATATAGATCTTAACATCATTTTGAAAGTGAGAAAAATTGGGGGTAACTTTCATAGTTTTACATTTGTGGACAAAATATTTTGCAAGCAAAATAATTAAGTTACAAAAGAAAAAAAATATTCTCATATTGCTTCACAAAAATGATAAAACCCAAACAAAACATCCTTTAAATAAAGCTCAAAGTCACAATGAACTGGCAAATGTCTTGCCAAAGTTTTCTTGTATGATCACAATGCCAAAAAAGATGTAAGATAGTCTCTGGTTGTGAATCACAAAAAGTACAATTTGCATCTGTAAGGACTGGGCTAAAAGGGTGAATCTGAATAACTAAATACATCCTGCTAAAGACCCAAAAAGACTGAATGCAACACACACACACACACTCTCTCTCTCAGGAATGGCCAGAGTCATAAAATGCTTGAAACATTCCATGCCCTCCCCCATCTCTGCAAGAGAGATAACAGAACTCTAACACACACACACACGAACCAACACACACACACACATAATGGACCTTTACATTACACGCATAAAACGAGCCATTACCAATTGTATACGATATATTCCTGTATGTCTGTGTGTTTCCCAGTCCATGGTAGTTTAGAAATGATCTCCTAGCGTATCAGTGAAACTCTTGAGAGTTTAAAAGTTATGTATTAAGATGTATCTTCATATTCCAATTATGTGTAAATGTTGTGTTTGGTACCGTTTTAATTATCTCGTTCCAACTGATTTGGTCAGATACAGAAGATTACAGTAAAATGTATGTTTTCTATGTTTTTATCATCTTGTGGAATGATTTCTGACAAATTCTGACTGGTCATAAAAGAGGCGGACACGGCCATAGTTTAACTTTGACAAGACAAAGAGAATTTGGCCGCCAAAAGTTTCGTTGAATGTCATTGGCCAGTTCGCACCTCAGAGGTGTGGACTCCAGTTCCTCTAAAGAGGACTAAACCTCCCTCTGGACTCTCTCTTGCAGTCTGACCTTCTCAGAGAAACATGTGATGCTAGCGATCTCCTCATGGAGATCTGATCCCACCATGGATCTTTTCTTTTGTTCGTTTCTTCTTTAACTTACTCCCGAGTTCGTCTCCCAGGAAAGGAAATGGACTTTGCCGAACTATTTCCTCGGGTAACGTCACCTCAAAGACTTTAAGCCTTTCAAACACTCGCGCCGAATGCCAACGAACGCCACGTGATCCCCCATGGAACAAAGGGGCCACGCGCAAGCGGCCAACCATGCACGCGCCGGGACGGGCCGTGCAAAAACGCTGCGGCCGCGCTCCACACGACGCGCGCAAGCAGGACAGGACCTTCGTTCAACATGCGGGCCGACCGGACCGCGCAAGGAACCCGCGACACACACAGACCTCATATGCTTTGCAAGTATCATTCCCGTTACAGCTTCTAAGAAGCCTTACAATGGTGTTTTCGTGTTGTTTCAGAAAGGTTGATGTCGAGGTGAAATTGTACCAGCTCTGTCTCTCTCCCTCGCTCTCTCACCAACTCTCTCACCAACACTCTCACCAACTCTCTCACCAACTTTCTCCCTTTCTCTCTCTCTCTCCAACTCATGTTTACATGGGTACCAATTGTCTAAACCCCCCGCGTCGTCTTAGTTTGTGTTTAATGTTTGTAAATACATGTATCATTGTAGTAAATGCTTAAGTAGTTCAGCTTCATTAAATATATTATATCCTTTTGATTGACTCATTGCCTGTTGCTCATAACCCAAGTCACTGATATGCTTCGATAACGTTACGAGCTCTTTACAGAAATACCTCAGACGGGTATGTGTAAACTTTATAGAGCAAGAAAACTAATTCTTGTGGCCACAGAATTTGTTTTCACAACTCTATAAATTAATTGAGCTAATTAATTTTTACCTGTCTTGTAAAACGTGGTCTGTATAATTAGTTACAATTCATTTGTGATTAATTGTGGGGATACACATGTATGCACGCAGGTAAAATGACAAAGCCTCCCTTAATGGGAGATTTATTAACATGTAAGACTGGGCTGATCCAAATCTGTATGAATAATTATTAGTTATTAATTATTAATTATGACATGCAAATTCCCCATTGATCAGACCCAAGCAGAGTCTTTACACATCTATACTTAATTTAAATTTTGACACCATGAACATTTTGACTGGATAATATCGATGAATAAGTTTAAAGAAGTCTCTTTGACCTTATTTGTACTTGTTAGGGAGAGTCCAAACCTTCTTCCATGAAATATTTTCCACTAAAGAGTTCCATTTTGAAACAACATGCGGAGTGGAAACATAGTCATTGAGAAAAAAAAGAAAACGAATATATCTATTATGTTTTAATGTAGATTTAAAACATATCCTGCCTACATATGTGTCAGCCGGGTCAGGGAGAGTCATTTCAGAACTTGTCAAAAAACTATTATGGCCCTTAAATAGCATAATGATACCATTAGGGATGGCATCAAATACAGTGGCAAACTGTTGAAGTAACAGGGATATTATAGTGGGAGAGAAATTCTTGATAAGTAAATAAGTGGCCATCCTGATTAAATAACTGGCTAACCAGGTTGATCCCATTCTTAAACCAGTTTTCAAAAAATACAGACTTATGTTTATAACAGATATATTTATTATTCCAAATGTAACGAATCACACAATAATAATATACATAAAATGTATTTAAGGGGGGCCGGAAGGCCAATTTAGCTCAAAAGGAATGATTCATCGATTTGCAATGAATCTTGACCAAATCACTATGGAACCGAGCAAATGACTCGTTTAGAGTTCATTTGAACGGGCCGTAATTATAACCTTGGCAACAGATATAAATATCCAATCTATAGTGAAACACTATGTATTAGCAAGGTAACTTTAGATCGACAGTACAAGACATTAAATGTGCAAGCACAACACAAGGCAAATATCTTTTCAAATATATTGACGACTTTATTAACTATTCTAAACACATAAAACTAAGGTCTAAACACAATCACACACACGCATTCATACAAGGCGCAGAGGAAGAGAGAGAGAGAGTGAGTTTTCAGAGTGAGATGCACTTTGTAAGCAGAGCCGGATTAACGCAAAGGCAAACTAGGCACGTGCCTAGGGCCCGATTGGTGGGATGGGGCCCAGACAGAAGGACAAAAATAAAAAAATAAAACAATTACAAATATCCTATCTACAATTTATTTCAATATTTATTAATTAACTAAAAAATAGTGACGATGTTTATCTTAACCATAGACTGTTAAATTACGTCACATTAACGCCAGCCCATCAGGTGCTGCGAAGCAAAAGTCTAAATAGGCACGCAAAGAAGCACAGCTCTAATGCAGGTGTGTGCGTTGTCGTCATCTATTTTGGAGTGATTGCAATGTATTCTAAATATAAACTTGTACTGTAGATCAGCGTCATTTCTGGACAAAATCCTTCACCGCTTTATTACGAGTTTAAAAGAGCGCGAGCGTCATTAACGTGCCCAGACGCGACACTTTGAATTTGCGCATACAATGAATAACATCGTGTCGGGAGCTGACTAAAAACACTACAAAAGTAAAAGACAGGACGTTTGTATTCAAAGTTAAAAAGCCAACACACTACAACATTTTAAATGTTTCAAATAAAGGATCTCATGGGTCTATCTTCTAAATTCTGCTGATGATTAGATTATACCCTGTCTGACATCAGCCTATACTTACGCCAATAATATCAGTTTAGAATTTTTTTTTCCTAATCAGTAGCGATCGTGTCTTTCTCTTCCACTTGATTTGTGTATAGCATATTTAAGCTAGCAATGCATAATATCATATTACTTATATTAATAATATGACATTATCTGCAGTCAATATTGATTAAATGGGAGGGGAAATCCTGCCCATACCGCAGCTATCAAAAAAAATTATAAAAGCATATATCACTGAAGTGGTATTCTGGAAATGTGAATAAATTGAATAAAACAGCAAAATAACAATAACAATAACATCTTCATTAAACAAAAAAGAGATTACCTTAGATGAAGTTTGATAATATGTACATGCAGTAGCCTACTGGTAAAAAGTCTGGACCAATTACTATTTTTAAAGTTTTTTATTATGCTCTACAAGCCTGCATTTATTTGATCAAAAACAAACAAAAAACAAAAACAGGAATATTCTGCAAGGAAGTGTTAAATATATAAAAAGTGATAGTGAAGACTTTTTTAAAACAACTTTTTAATAATAAAAAAAAATCCTGAAAAAAGTATCACAGGTTATAAAATA